CATCACCTATGGACTCTTAATTCGCACACAACTATCATTAAACAAAGATTTACACACACACACACAGTTCTGGTGTTCCTCAGAGCTGCTCAATATTGACCTTTAAATATAGGGGTGAATGGAGTGACTGTCTTTACAAGGCACTCCGCTTCATGGCAGCTAATTTGGGTGACAAGCAGCACCTCATAGCCAAACGTGCAGTAGGTGCACATGATTGTTGCTCTACCTGGGGCCACCGGAACGGCCCGGCCTGCTTCACAGAGCACTGCTCCCCCGTGCGTGTCCTGGCCTGCGAGGTGGAGGGGTGCTGGGGAGAAGCTGCCTCCAGAGCACCCAGGAAGGGCAGCCAATCGTTTGACAAGATAAAGATGCCCTCCTTCAGAAGGCAGGAGAAGATGGAGTCCAGGTGTCAGCTTCGATTTTTGGTTGGGTTATTAAGTTGTTTCTACTCAACCTGTTGTTGGCCCACCTCAAGAAAATCTACAGTAGCCATAACGGAATGCCAGTCGACACATTTGATTGCAACAGGGAGTTCTGTGCTTTGCTGCAATTTTATTCTTCCTCAAAACTTTTTCCTTTCCTTACGGCATCTTTAGAAGGAAAATTGGAGTTGTTACTTTTCAAGAACAGGGTCACAAAATGTTTGGTGACTTATCAGAGGTAGGCCCTTTCTTTTTTTTGTTTTTTTTGTTTTGTTTTTTGTGGTGCATCATTTGTGTAGGCCCTTTCAAGGGCTCCATGTACTGGATGCTGGGAGCACAGAATTCTATTCCATTTGTATTGCTCTCAAACTTGGGTCAGTTGCTCTCTTGACAGGTATATGATGATTGAGAAGTCGCATATCTGCTAGGTTGTTTGTCTCTCTTTTTTTTTTTTTTAGGGCAAGTAGTAGCTATTTAACTATTTTGAAGGCAGAGGGGAGAGAAAGGACAAAGGGAGGGGAAAGGAACTATTGCATTCTCCCTGCATGGAATACCCACAAGAGAATGCTTTTCTTTCTAAGAAAAAATCTCAGCTTTCTCTGTCTCACCTCAAGCCTGCCTCCCAACTTTCCTGTGAGAGCGCTTTCTTTTGTCATTTGTTTATCTTTTTTACTCTTTTAACCTTCTCTTCAAAATAATATTTCCAAGGACTACCAGGTACTGGACTTTAGTTCAGATACCTGTTTTCCTTCCTTGACCTCAGAGCCACCTTCCACAGTGCTAATTAGTTATTCAAGGTTTGGCTACCTCTTAACTATTTTTCTGAATGATCACTCTATTGGGAACCTGAACAAAATCATTCTTGCTATAATGAAAACTGTTGTACCTCCTTTTCCCCACGTAATGAGGCTTATTTACATCCAGGGCCCTAGTGATTCAGCTTATTAGCAAGGTCAGCCCTAGCAGAGGATTGGCTAGTGAATAATTATTATTCATTTGTGATTGAGTTCATTCAGTTTATTACAGGGTTTCAAGAGCAAGACAATAATAAGCAAAGAACAGGATGATTTGAGCTGTGTGATTTGTTCACTTGTGTTTCTGCCCAGTACCACCATGATGCTTTGTAGGGAGGGTTTTTTCGTTTCTAATAAACGTTCTAAAAAAGAAATCATGTCTCGAGAATGATGAGAGCAACAAATGTACAAATGTGCTTAGCACATGGATGTATGTATGGATTATGATAAGAGTTGTACCAGCCCCCAGTAAAATGAATTTTTTTTAAGAAAAAGAAATTGTGTCTCAAATGGTTCCCACAAAAGTGTCTGTGTTGAGAGAGAATGAATAAGATTGGAAACAAATGGAGTGAGACAATTGATGTAAACAATCAATGAATCTGAGTAATGGATAAACACTGGATGGTTTTTTGAGTACTATTCTTGCAACTTCCCTAAGTTAGAAATTATATCAAAATTAAATGTACTCAAAAAAATAAGTACAGGGCAGGGCAAATATTGTCCAGCTAAGGATAGTTCTACAAAAAGACAAAACTAAAAGAACAAAAACAACAAATGGGGGGAGTGTTACTCAGTATCATAACCCCAATTTTGAACTGCAGTTCTAGTTGAGGGAGGAGAAACTTATTTTAGCTCAGTTCATTTGTAAACCTGATTTGTGCTCCTATTTTACATGATTAACCTTTAGGGACAACATCTGAAGTTCATGGATTTTTAAATTCTATCATAGTCACTCTTAGCCTCATGTTCCGTCTTTTAGACCAAACAAAACACATTGGGACGTCACAGAGAAGCCTTTCCTTTGTGGCTCAAAGCTTAAGTGGTGACTAGGGTCCCTGTTTCCTTTTGTGCCATCAAAGCAAAACCTGGTACAGTGATGCAAATACCTAGGGCCTAGTAGAGGAAGAGGGTTCCCTGCATGGTGCCCATAGTTAATGTGCTTCCAGCCCACCCCAGGCACCTGGAAAGGAGGGGCTCACAGGAGGAGCACCTGGAGAGGAGGCAGTCAGCTTCCAAAACACTGCCACTGAAAACTGGAAGGAGGGAATCAAAGTTTCAGAGGAGAAACTAGCCTACTAGGGCCTACCTGAGCCAGGGCCTCTTCTAACTGAGCTCAGAATGACTTGTTGCTGGCCACCACTGCCTACCATTCTGATCGAGACCACACTAGGTGGACACGGTTAGAATGAGGAAACAATGTGGGAAAGAACTTCAGATTCTTAAGCCCACACTTAGTGGACTGGTCGCGACTAGAGGATTCCATGAAACCACCACCATTGAGGTGCTCTCTCAACCTTGAGCTGAAACCTGTTCGGTGAAATAACAGATTGGCACACAAAATAATGGGGTGTTGCCCGTGAATTTGGAGCTCTGCGAACAAATCATCTCTGAGAGCAGGTGGTCACCAGTGACTGGAGAGCAAAGAGAAGGCAAGGAGGGCGGGGGTGGGGGTGGGGGACCTGGAGTCCTGGCCATGGGTCAGAACCCCTGAATGACCATGTCGACACATGGCGAAACGTGTAACTATTGCCACTGGACAGTGAGTGTCATCAGTGTCGAACGAAGCCTAGCTTTCTGTGTAAACACTCACTGTAAACACACTAGCAGAGAACGGAGTATTCTGGAACAGCTCTACTGAACCACGTGACTGCAGTGTGAGCTGTTGAAGGCCAGTCAGAATGCGGTTTGTTGGTTTTCCTGTTTGGGATGTATAGTCTCTCCAAAATGTCCCCGATGGGGAAAGTGGAGCATAGCTAGTTCACCAGAGGAAGGAGAATTGGCTCGGTTCGGTTCCACTGGGAAGTCAGGGTGATGCCATATGGGCTAAAGATCACGGACTTGCGAATCAAATAGCCTGGATCTCCAGGGTCTGGCTGCTGGGACAGCTGACCCTGAGGCTCAGATTGCTCATCTGTTAAGTGAGAGCCCTGCCTTATCAGGTTGGCTACTACAGGGATTAAATGCCCTCACACTAGCAGTGTCAGCTTCGGTCAAACGGCTCACCACCAAGGCCACCCCAACTCAGAGCGGCCCCAGAGGACAGAACTCCCTGCGTGCGGGTTCCTGAGACACGCAGTCTTTCAGAGAGTAGAAAGCTGCTGGTGATTTGGAATGGCTGACCTGGTTAGCAGCCCCAGGCTTAACTCACTGGGCACCTGCAGTAACTCAGCTGTCAGGGATCAAATGAACCCAAAAGCCGTGCCTGGGAGGAATGTCAACGTTGTCTCCCATGTTCCTTCAGCCGTGCCCTTCCACTCCTCAGTTTGTAAAGCGCAGACCCCCAAATCAGTCCTCAGTGTGGTTTGTGGAAAGGCCTGCCTGAAGGTGGGAACCGTGCGCCTGAGATTGGGCAGAACAGCCAGGTGATTGGGGGCAGGGAGGTGGCGGCACGAAGTGCTAAAGTTGATTTGCCTTGATTAAGCTAGTCATTTACGTTTCCCACAAAAGGCTAATCAAGGAGTACAGCTGTCAAAGGAATTCAGATCTTTGGCAATCTGCATCTCTGAGCCGCTGTGGAATATCTGTCCTTTGTTTTCATTGGAGAGGGTTTTTCCTTATAATATCGTGACATCTCATTTGTTAGGTTTGAATAATTGTGTTTCGGGTACGTTTCCTTCCTGCGTGCAGATACCTGAGTGTCTGCCTCCCCAGCCAGAGTTGGCAAGGGACCAAATGCTCATATTTCTTATTTTAGGTGAAATTGCACTGAAGGTACCCATCACTTCCAGCTACCCTCCACCCACACACACAAAGGGTTTTGAGTTACTAATTAAAATTTTAACTTCTAGTTCTCTTCCTTGGACATATGAGAGTTGTCTTTTGTTTTGTTTTATTTTGTGTCTGACTTTCATTAACGCATTCTTTTTTATTGGAGATGTGCCTGTGTTTAGAAGGCCTTTCACAGTGAAGACGTAGTGGAAGGACTCGCTGTGAGGGTCGCCCCTCGCAGTGGCAGTACAGAGAGTGTACTCCACGTTTTGCCCTGGGTGAATGCACTGGGATCTCCGTGGGATGGCACTGCTGCTACTTCTCATGGACGTTGGCTTCAGGGGTGCAGCCGCCGGAAGTTTGGCTATCATTGTGAAGCTATACAGTTGGGGTTTTTTATTATTAAAAGATCGTTTTATTGGGGGCTCTTACAGCTCTTACAACGTTCCATACATCAGTTGTAGCGGACATATGTGTACATACGCTGCCATCATTCTTTTCTAGACATTGACTTTCTATTGTGCCCTTGGTATCAGCTCTTTTCTCCCTCCCTCCCCCACACTCTCATCATAGTTTTTTGCCCACATGCATGTGTGTGTGGACATTAATATATATATTAATATGATTGGTATCTGAATCATTGGTTTTAGTTGTTCTGCTGCGAATTGAATTAGAGTTTATGGCACCTTTTTTAAAGTTAATTTTACTTATTGATGGGATTTTGATATTTAAAGTACTGTTTATTGTGTTAGATTTTAAAAAAAATCATTTTATTGGGGGCTCATACAACTGTTGATACAATCCATCCATCCATCCATTGTGTCAGCACATTGGTACATTTGTTGCCATCATCATTCTCAAAACATTTGCTTTCTCCTTGAGCCCTTGATATCAGCTCATTTTTTTCTAGCACCTTCTTAAGAACAAATACCAGATATTTCTAGTTGCATTGAGAGAGCCACTAAAAACTGACCTTATCCTGGCCTGAAAGTCTTTCCCACTTGGGTAATTTAAGAAAATGAGAAGGAAGATCTGTCTCAGTGGACACATTTGGTTTGGGAAGCCTGCTGTGTCAGGCGCTCAGCGTGAGCTCGGGCAGTTACTTCCCTGGGCCATGTTCTCTCCTAAGTGATTGGGGATCATGAAAACATCTGATTCTGAAGGACAGCCCCCCCCTTCTTGTCTTGGGAGGGAGCGGCAGAGTTCCCCTGATGATGAGATTCCTGGATTGGAGGCTAGGGGATGTTGTCTTAACACATCTAGTTCCGTCATCTGGTCTTCTGAGGAGCTTTTACATTTCATTTTGCCCAGCAAAGTTTTGCTTATAACTCAACATTGATGGTCACCAGGATGGACTTTATTTTAACCTAAAGCTTTTGGCAGATTGTAGCCCTTAGATTAAGGTGACCAGATTTTAACATTGGTAAAGCGGGACACAATTGATAAAACTCATATCCTGGTGAAATAACCACATGGCAGCCTATACCCTAGCTTCTTTCCAAAAATCGGGACTATCCCGCAAAAGTAGGACATCTGGTTACCTTACCTTAGATGGTAAAATTGAGGATTTAAAGGCATAAAAACACTGAATTTTACATTTTGGGTAAGTAGGCTAAGTTTCGAGTGTTCTAAAACATCGTTAGAAGCCTGGATGTAAGCCATTGGCCCAGTGGCCCACTGTGCACCTCGTGCCTGCCACACTGTTTAGGGAAATCCCTCAGGAAACGTGGGGTTTCTGGGGCCATTGTCCATGGCCTGGCATCATGGTCAAGGCGCATGTTGCTGTTCCCTCTACAGCCCAGGGCTGCATATGGAGTTCATTTGTGGAAAGTTAGAAAGTCAACAGAGCAATTTCCTTGAAAACCTTTCTGATGACTCGTGTAGAGGCGCCCACTGAAGGCAACTGGAAATAGGCCAGATTCGGGGAATTTTCTGTAATACTGAACTGGGTTGGGCCCCATTTCCGAACAATACAGGTTTTTAAGTTCCAGGGGGCTTAGGGGAGAAGGGGACTGACACTTGGTAATTTGGTTACTTCCCCCGAGCCCAGCTGGATGTAAACTGACAGGCTATGAACACTGGAGGGCGGGGCCAGGTTTCCAACGCCTCTGGTTTTCTGTCTGTTCCCCTAGCAGCCACCGCTCCATGCCCTGTGACTGAGGGCCCTGGACGCTGACACTGGGCAGCGATGCCTTTGGAGATGGAGCCCAAAACGAGCAAGCTTGCCTTCGGCTGTCAGAGAAGCTCCACGTCGGACGACGACTCTGGCTGTGCGTTGGAGGAGTACGCCTGGGTGCCCCCGGGCCTTCGGCCGGAGCAGGTAGGGACCAGCCGCCTTGGCTTCTTCGTTGTTTCCAAGCGTGACTTCCATCTTCCTCCCGGCCAACCTCTCAGGCCGCGCTACCGTGTGGCTCTTCAGGGTGCACGTGCAGTTGCTCAGTGCACGTGTTTCGGCTCTTCTGTTCACACGGAACCAGACACCCTAAAGCAGCGGTTCTCAACCTTCCTCATGCCGCGGCCCTTAACACAGTTCTTCATGTGGTGGTGACCCCCCCCAACCATAACATTATTTTCATTGCTACTTCATCACTGTAATTTTGCTACTATTATGAATCGGGTGACCCCTGTGAAAGGGGTCCCCCCCCACCACCACCAAAGGGGTCACGACCCACAGGTGGAGAACCCCTGTGCCTATTGTGATGTGGTTTCTGCCCTGATGGGTAGAACCCAGGATACATTCATTAGGTGTTTCTGATGAGTTACTTTTGAGGGAGTGAGAGGAATGTAACCTTTGTAAACGTCACTACCCATCACCAAAAAAAAAACAAAAAGTGGGGGGGTGGGGGGGTTGCTTGCTCCTCGCAATACATTTGCTGCGGAGCAGCAGAGCTCCAGAGCAGCAACAAAATGCCCACCACACCACACCCCAACAGAATGCTGCTTAGGAATTTGGCCTTTGGTAGTTTGCATATAAAAGAATCTGATCAGTACACAGTGTGTATTAGGAAAAGGTTAAAGAGAATTGACTTTGTGCTTTGGTTGTCTTATTTCAGGGAAGATGAGAATATATCTACATGCCTATTTTTATTTCCCCCAAATCTTTATACTGTCACGTTGGAATTGTTAACATTGCTAGTGCTAGATGTTATACAAAGGGGCCACAAAACATTCCTGGGAAAATTCCATTCTCCTTTTATTCCATTTACCCCCCTCCCCTGCAAGGCAAAGGCAAGTTTTGGAATCAGTGGTGACAATTAGCTTAGGTAGTTGCTTCCAGGTTTCAAGTGTCAGTGCTGTTTTCCACAGGTGTGAACGACTTGAGAATTAGCTGTTGTCAGCAAGGCTTGTCCTCCTCCTCGGCAGGTGGTGCTCCCCGCCCCCCACCACCACCACATTGCTCCACCGGGTTTCTCATTGGCTCCTTTCTTGATTCACCAGCCTTTTCGTCCTAGTCTATTGAAAGCTGTTCAACATCACAGCAATAAACTGCAAACACCGCGTTGACTGCGCTACAGGTGCCTTCACCGATAAGGAGCCAGCCTCTCCCCTTCTGAAAGGCAGAATTCTGGAATTAAACCACCATCCCACCCTTGTGAAAATCTCATTCACTCACTCCCTGCCACTGAGTGGATTCTTACTCATAGCGACCCCATAGGGCAGGGAAGAACTGCCCCTGTTCATTTCTGAAACTAACTCTTCATAGAAGCAGAAAACCTCATCTTTCTCCAGAGGAGCAGCTGGTGATATCGAACTGCAGACCTTGTGGCCAGCAGCCCTGCATAATCACTGTGCTACCAGAGCTCCTCTTTTGAAAATACTTAAACTCCAAACTCACTGGCATCGAGTCAGTTCCAACTCAGAGCAGCTCTATGAAATAGGGTCTCTTTCTTCATCCAGGGCCTAGCACGGTGCCTGCTGCACACAGCTGGTATTCAGTGACTTTATAACTGTGTAAAAAGTTTCTATAGTTGATAGAATAGGCGTAGGAAGTCCTGGTGCAGCAGTGAGGAAAACAGTAGTTTTGCAAATGCTTTCAGGAAGATGCTTTTCTGGAAGCTACAGAGTAGGTAGGTTTGTGTGATACTAAAGAACCGATGCAAGCAGGCCCCAAATCCCCAATCTACGTTTTTCCTTGAATCACTTTCATTCTTTTTCAGCCCTGAAATCTTCTTCCACAGGCTCTCTGAGGGATGTGCCTTTAAGTACAACAGAAAAATAGGCCAAAAATCGAGCTCTCCTTCCACACTGAGCTGAGTCCAGCTCCATAAGGCTCTTCTCCAGCTTCCTTGGGGAAACGGTCTGCAGGTATTTAGAGCCGCCCCCCCATGGAAGCAGGGAAGACTGACAGCTGGACCAAAGCTGATAAGGGAGAGTTTATAAAGTTTAACAAAACAGCTCTGGTCTCTGTGACGTGTAAGATCTTGGACAGTGTCACACAGCCTGTGTGGTCACTTGCAGAATCCACCCAGGGCAGTAAGCTCAGCTGTTTGGGCTGGCTGACCCTTAGAAGATCCAAGGAGGCATAATAGCAGTAAATGTGCATATTTTATGGTGCATAATTTATGGTGCCCCTAATTGTCACTACAAATTACATTCCTGAAGAGCAATTTAGCAGCTGGGTGCTAGTTCTGGGAAGGTTTGCAGTTCTGCCAAGCTGGCTCAGCGGGCCTTCTCATTAACTACAGGAGACGAAAGCCTGCCCAGGCCAAGTCCCAGACCTCAAAGGGAAAGGTCATGTTTGAGAAAAAGATTGACCAAGCCAGGGTGTTCTGTGTCGGTGTGCTGATGTCCTTCCTGGCCTCCCCCGCATAGGTCCAGCTTTACTTTGCCTGCTTACCAGAGGACAAGGTCCCTTATATCAACAGCCCTGGAGAGAAACATCGGATTAAGCAGCTTCTGTACCAGTTGCCACCACATGATAATGAGGTAAAATAGCCAAAGACAAATGTGACATGAGAGAATCAGATAAAGCAGTCTCTCTCTCTCTCTCTCTCTCTTCCTCTCTTCTTCAGTTAAAATTTGGCTGAAGAATACAGCTTTCCATTCTTTAGGAGGAGAGGGTGTTGGGGCAATAAACTTAACACAAGTCAGGTTTTTATAGTGGCTCCAGCCGCCCACCAATTATCAGGAGCCTGCACATTCCTGCGCTTCCACTGCCCTTGCAGACAAGAGGGGATGCTTTATGGTCGGTTGTTGAGGCCTCCAGATGAAATAGCTTGCCCAGAGAATTTCTAGTGAAAGTGGCAATTACCAAGTTTAACCCTTTTGTAGAAAGGTTAATGTTTTACATTGCTGATAAGGGTTTAAATGATAAGAGTTCAAGGAGCCCCTAATAAAATGATTTCCATAAATAAATGAATAAATGAATGAAAGGAGGGTTAAATGAAACATTCCTTTCCTTCTTTTTTTGTTTTTCGAGTGTTCCTTCAAATTGCAATCCCTTCTTCGAGAAAGACCCTACACCATAGGTCTGATATCAGCTTAAAAGGGGGGTTTCCGGGGCAGGCCAGCTGAACTTGCTGTTTTGTTCCATGACCGCCTGACACGGAGCTGCAGAATGCACAGCGTGGGGCTTGTCTCCCTCCCGGGCAGGTGCGGTATTGCCAGTCTTTGAGTGAAGAGGAGAAGAAGGAGCTGCAAGTGTTCAGTGCCCAGCGCAAGAAGGAAGCCCTAGGCAGAGGGACCATCAAGCTGCTGTCTAGAGCGGTTCTCCACGCCGTCTGTGAGCAGGTAACTCCGGTCAGGTGGGCAGCTGGTGGCGGGTGTGCTTAGTGGGCTGGGTTGTCACAGACTTGGGCCTACAAGTCTTGTGAAAGGAGAGAGACACCAGGTTGTTCATGGCAGGTGCTTTCAGCCATGGAGCTGGCTCCACTGCAGCGGATGGCAGTGGGAGCCACTCTGACCTATGGAAGGAACACTCTGGATAAAGTCTTGCCATTGGGGGACCCTGGTAGGGTGGCAGGTGCTAGGGGACACCTGGGTGGTTGCTTTTTAAAGCAGAAACACAATTAAGACATGCAGCCCCTGGCTGGCAGTGCTCAGCAGGAACACCACTGGCCTGTGTAAAGGGTTCTTAGGAACAGGGGCATCTCGTAGCCCAGCTGAGGCATGTTCACTGCCATGGGGGAGAGAGCGCTATCGACAGTGTGCCACTAAAGGGACAGTGACTGGCTAGCGGGAGGGGGGAAAGGGAACGCTGCTTTCCTATGCGGGATTGAGTGGGAAAAGTTGAGAATGCCAACCTTTAAAAAGAAGGTCCCTTAACAATTGGAACCCTTTTGTCTTCAGTGTGGGTTGAAGATAAATGGAGGTGAAGTCGCCGTCTTTGCCTCGCGTGCGGGCCCGGGAGTGTGCTGGCATCCATCCTGTTTTGTCTGCTTCACGTGTAACGAGCTGCTGGTCGACCTCATCTATTTTTATCAGGATGGAAAAATTCACTGTGGCAGGCACCATGCTGAACTGCTCAAACCACGATGCTCAGCATGTGACGAGGTAAAAAGGGCTCTTCCCTTGGAGCAGGAAACAATGCGCTTCCCTCAAGCCAACATTCCATGCTCACCTCCAAGCAAAACATAGACATCTCCTGGAGGCTTGCTCTAGGGAGACTGTTAAGATAACCCTGGTGCAGTCACCTCGTGGAATAATACTTAGCAAGTGTGAAGTCCTGGACGTACTGACAGGAAAAGAAGGTGCAGAAGAGTATGTAGCAGATGATCTTGTTTGTATTAAATCAAGGAAAACATGGTGCCCATATCTACATTTGCTGGGTGGGGGGGGTGGGTACAAAGGGGGCAGGACACACAGCCAGGTAGACTGTGGTTGCCCAGAGGGGCTGCCGGGTGGAGAAGGCTGACGGTGTGGAAGGAAATCCTGGTTTTTTCTTTAAGCTTTTCATCTAAATCTGCTTCAGAGTTGCATAGAGATGACAGCGGGCGGCTTCCTCTGCAGCCAGCATCTTCCGTACTGCATTTCACTACGCAGTTAGTGGGGGTAGAATGCCATCAAGTCTACGACCAGCATCAGGGAAGTCTTCCCAGGTGCCCTCCCTCTCTTCCAAGAGTCAGCGGAGGCTCCCTTATGGCACTTCTTCTTATCCCAACCCCACCTCCAGGACAGGGCAGAGCAGCTCCGTGGGGTTTCCTAATCTATAGGAGCCCCCTGGTGGGTTAGAACTTCTGAGCCTGTGGATAGCAGCCCCACATTTAACCCACTGCACCGCCTCGTCTCCTTTTATCTCCTTAGTCTCCTTCAAGCTGCAGCACTGAGCTGTTTTTACTTATCTACATACCTTGATTTTTAACCACTTTCCCACAAGGGCTTCTTTATATAATATATAAATCGAAGGGCTTCAATATATAAATATATTTGAAACCAAAAATAAAAGTCCAGTAGAGACCTTGATCGGCAGATAGCCACGAGGTCCCCTGGGGCACATGCGCACTGGTTGCAGGGTGTGGCCTTTGTGGGCCTGGATCCACCGGCATTTGCGGGTGCTTCCTTTCTATTCCACAGAGACCCGTGCGCATTCACAGGGTCAGAAAGATGAATTAGCACCAAAAACAAACCCCACTGCCACAGAGGCAATGCTGACGCAGCGTGACTCCGTATTTGAAGTTACTGTAAGTTTTATGGGCACAGCCAGCCTCATCAGTCTCCTCTTGGAGTGGCTGGTAATCCGGCACCACCAACCTTGCACGCAGTTGGCTGCCTAGCGCCCAGCTCACGCCACCGCCAGAAACACAAAGCCCACTGCCGTCCGGGCAGTCCTGACTCACGGCAACCTGTAGGATGGACAAGAACGCTCCTCCCTTTGAGTTTCTGAGCAGAAACGTTCATTTCTCTCCTAAGAAAGCTGCTTACTTTGTGTAATCCATGACCAGGGCTCTAATTTTTTCAAGAGTATACGTGAACGCTTGCTTCGTTTCTTCTTGACGTGATCAGTTTTTGCTCGGTTCACAATTCAGTGACGTTAGATTTCAGCTTGTGGTTGCTTATAGGAAAAACAGCTAGCTGTAGGCCTCTCCTTTCAAGATCCAGTGTGTCTTGACACTTCCATGAAAGCTCACAGGGATCTTGTTGGTGCTTTTTAAGATAATTTTCGCTGACGAGTGCACAGAGGCTGAGGGGCGGCACTGGCACATGAAGCACTTCTGCTGCCTCGAGTGTGAAACGGTACTGGGCGGCCAGCGCTACATCATGAAGGACGGCCGGCCCTTCTGCTGCAGCTGCTTTGAGTCTCTCTACGCGGAATACTGTGAAACCTGCGGGGAACACATAGGTGAGTACGGCCCTCAGAGCCACTGTCGGGCTGTGATCATCCACAGCCTTGCTTGTTTTTCCTTGTGTGTGTTTTTTGTTGAGATGCCATTTACATACCGGAGGGATCACTCACTGCCATGGAGTTGAGGTGACTCACAGCGACCTTAGAGCGTCTGAGACTGACTATGGGAGTGGAACACGTTCTCTTCCTCGGCATGGTTTCAGATGGCTGACCCTGGGGTTAGCAGCCCAACACATAACCAGTGTGCCACCAGGGCTCCTCAGCGTGTAGACAGATAGATCTTAACTATTTGCTCTGCGTCTGACCAGTGGAGACACAGTCCCGTCCACTCTGCCGTTGTCACATTCACCGCAGACAGCGACGGTGCCATGGTAGAAGTCTGTGGGTTTGAGCAGCAGCTCCAGCGTGCCGCACCCACCACCTGTCAGTGCAGCGCAGGCTGGGATGCCAAACAGGTTTCGGCAGTTCCCAGATTAAGACACTGAAGAAAGGCCTGGCAATCCACATCTGAAAATCGGGCCGTGAGAACACTAGTGTCATAAAGGTCTAGTCCCATTGTGCATGGAGTCGCTCACCATGAGTTGGCGACCAACTCAACAGCAGCCTTACTCGGCCTCTGCTGGGGACATGCACGTGTCTGTGAATGACTGAGCTAGCATGGTGCCTCCTGACAGCGAGGGTGAAGATAAATCCCGTGTTATAACGAGGGCCCACTAAATCTACGGAACCCGTGCCCCCATCAACAGAGATAACACTTTAATCAACCCAGCAGTTTCCCTCGGGCCCACAATGGCTGCTCCCCGTGTATCAGGCTGCACCCTAACCTGTTCTGTCCTTTGTCGAAACAGGTGTGGACCACGCCCAGATGACTTACGATGGGCAGCACTGGCATGCGACGGAAGCCTGCTTCTCCTGTGCCCAGTGTAAAGCCTCTCTGCTGGGATGCCCCTTCCTTCCGAAACAAGGTCAGATTTATTGCTCCAAAACGTGCAGCCTTGGGGAAGACATGCACGCCTCGGACTCCTCCGACTCGGCATTCCAGTCGGCGCGCTCCCGAGACTCCAGAAGGAGCGTGCGGATGGGGAAGAGCAGTCGGTCAGCAGACCAGTGCAGGCAGTCTCTGCTCCTGTCCCCCGCCCTCAACTACAAGTTCCCCGGGCTGTCCAGCAATGCTGATGACACCCTTTCTCGGAAATTGGATGACTTGAGTCTCACCAGGCAAGGGGCAGGTTTTGTCAATGAGGAGTTTTGGAAAGGCAGAGTCGAGCACGAAACCCCAGAAGACCCTGAAGAATGGGCTGAGCATGAAGATTACATGACCCAGCTCCTCCTCAAGTTTGGTGATAAAAGCCTCTTTCAGCAGCAGCCCAGCGAGATGGATATTCGAGCCAGTGAGCCTTGGCTATCTGATAACATGGTTAAAAAGAAGACCGAGTTAAAGCAAAATAACCAGAGCCTGGCAAGTAAAAAATACCAATCTGATATGTATTGGGCACAGTCACAGGATGGCCTGGGTGATTCTGCATATGGCAGTCACCCAGGCCCTGCTAGCAGTAGACGGCTCCAGGAACTAGATCTGGACCATGGGGCTTCGGGATACAGTCACGATCAAACACAGTGGTATGAAGATTCCCTGGAGTGTTTGTCAGACTTAAAACCTGAACAAAGTGTCCGGGATTCTATGGATTCCTTGGCTTTGTCTAATATCACAGGTACGTAATCTAGGGATGGCATTTGAAGGAGCATGCACTAAAAATGTATTTTTAAAATTATAATGCACAGGTAGGGATGCTTTTGAAATTCTAAACCAAGAGAAGGGAGTGAATAAATTTGTTAAACATCAAACACTATAGCAATCCTGTGTGTGCTTTGTGTGTGTGAGAGATAGAGAGAGAGAGAGAAATTTGACACATCCCTATGGGAGAGAATTATTCATAAGAAGACGACAGTGGATAAAAAGTTGGATAAAAATCTGGACTTTAAATAGGGGCCAGTGATTTGACACCAAAGATTTTCTCCTACAGGTCATAGAAATAAAACACTTAATCTGGGTCTAATGATGTAATTTTATGGTTGCACATTTAGCTCAGAGTGATCCCGTTCGCAAGTTGGCTTGAGCCCTGCTTGGTCTTGTGGGTAAGAACATAACCCGTGACCCCGCCCCTAACTCATGGTTTGGGATAGTAGAGTACACAGCTGGATTGTGTCAGAAGGTTCCAGGCTCTTTTGATTTCGCTTTGTGAGTTTTAAGATACTAAAATTGGCCTGCACATTTTATAAACTTATAACAGAGTTTTAGGTTACCTTGAATCACCCTGTGGATAGCTTACAAACAGCTAAGCATATTTTACTCTGACAAAATAAATTTTGCTTTCATGTTTTCAAGGCACATTAATATCAGTTATCCACATTTTATCCTTTAAACATCCCAAGTCATAACAAAGGGGATGTGATAGGATTGCTTCTTATGAGGACACTTGAATTAGCAGTGGGTCAAATGATCAACATCACATCGTCTTCAAAGCAACATTGGGCCTAGACGGCAGCTCTTCTGAATCGCATCTTTCTGATAAGTCATTGGATACAGAAATGTTGCCATGTTAAGGCTAGTCTTAAAGTCACACTAGGGGCATCAACTGTAACAGATAGGGAAGGCCTTCGCAGCTGCCCCAGAGGACGCTGTGTCAGGAGCTGCGTCTCCAAGGAGGGGAGGAGACAAAGCTCCCCGTCCAGTTTTGTCAAAGATGCTGGGGACTAGAGGACCGGTGGGCGACAGGAAGTTATTGATACCCAATTTATATCAAACACACACACTTGGTATAAATTTAAGTGTTAGGACTGATATTTCGTAACAATAATGGTCTGAAAAACAAGCTCCCTTTGGACAATACTGACAGTAGTTCGCAGCCTTCCTTTCTGTCCCATCATCGATTGGGATATTTGTCATCCTGCCTTACCTAGGCCCCGGGAGAGCAATGTCAGTTTTGAGAAAAATATTGAATCTGGTTAGGGGTATATTATTTGGGGGTTGAAGAAAAGACTGGATGAATGAAAGGAAACTAGTAAAATAGGGTCAAGGTCAAGGGTTTGTACACTTCTCAGAGAGCCACATAGTGTGTGTACCATACAATCTGTTACAGCTCCTCAACTCTGCCACTGAAGCAAGCGGCCACACACAAGACAAAGATGAGCACAACAGCTGTGTCTCAATAAAACTTTACACAAAATTGACTATGGCTAGATTTGGCCCTTGGGGTGTAGACTGCTAGCCCCTGGTCTTGGTCTAAGATAGGAGGACTTCCCCGTAAGTGTTGACCATGGAGATACAAAGGAAGGGGCAGTTGTTTTGTTTTTGTGTTGTCAGTGTGAAAACCTTGCCTTTGTTACCATAGTAGTCTCATGCATGTCTTTTTGGTGATGGAGGATTTCATTCGGTAGCATGTCCTGCAGATTCTTTATTCCTTTGTGTGTATGGACCAGAGTTGGTCTGTTCTTCCACTGCTGAGCACGCTGGCCCCTTTTCATCTTTTTGGCAGTTTGCTTGCTGCATTGACTCTCGTGGCTATATACCAGGTAGAGGGACTGTGGGACCACATGGGTCCTATGAGACTTCTGCTGATTCCACAGTGGTGGTTGCATCAGCCTACAGCCCCACCAACAGTGTAGCTGGCTCCAGTCTCGGACTGGCTGGTGTTTTGAACTTTGATATTAATGTTGGAGTGCGTTGGGGTCTCATTTCGATTTGCATCTCTCAGATGGTGGCGACTGCAAGCACTTCTTCCTGTTGGTCGGCCGCCCAAATCTCTTCCTTGGTCAGGTGTCTGCTCATGTCTCTGCCCAGTTTTACGTTGGGTTGTTTCGGTGTTGACGTTTTCTATGCATCTTAGAGATGTCTATATACCATTGCCAATTTTTTCCCCTCAGTCTGTGGGTAGGCAGACACAAAGGGCCAAGATTTGAAAGGTGTTTAAATGAAGCAGTCTGGCTTGAATGCCTTAAAGGGCAAAGCTTCGATACCTTCTGCTAATCAGCTGATGCAGGGACTTCTGTGAAGATGCTTTGAGCTTTTGTTGCTCAGCCACATGCTGTCACTAACGTTCCGCTCCCAATCAGCCGGGCTCATAAGAAAGCTGTGCCCTTTGTGTTGAGAATAAATGCTGACCTCTTCACAATGTGTTTCTATCTACACATGGGTCTTCCCTAACTGTGTTGATGCGATATTGAAATTTGGAAACGAAGATTTTCTTTGAAAAGCTTCCACTTCCGTATTCTCTTGTTCGTGATCATTGTTCATGAGTGTTGGGCTTACTGGGATTCACACCTTGCCCGTCTTCTCTTCTAGGGGCCTCGGTGGACGGGGAGAGTAAGCCACGGCCGTCGATGTACTCCCTGCCAAACTTTGAGGAGCTGGAGGCGGAGGATTGTGAGAAAATGAGCAACATGGGAACTCTGAACTCGTCCATGCTGCACAGGAGCGCCGAGTCCTTGAAGAGCCTCAGTTCAGAGCTGTGCCCAGAAAAAATCCTGCCGGCCGAGAAACCGGTGCACCTGCCCGTCCTCAGAAGATCCAAGTCTCAGTCCAGACCACAGCAGGTCAAGTTCTCAGATGACGTCATTGACAACGGCAGCTACGACCACCTGGAGGTCCGGCAGCCCCCGATGAGCGAGCGGACTCGCAGACGGGTCTACCATTTCGAAGAGAGGGGGGCCCGGCCGCACCAGCCCCATCGCCGCCGGAGAAGTAGGAAGTCTCGCTCCGACAATGCCCTGAACCTCGTCGCCGACAGAACGTACGCCCCGAGGGACCGGCTGCGGCTCTACAGCCCCGAGAACTACGAGAAGTTTCTCCGGGACCGAAGCGCCCGCGAGCTCCAGGCGTACCTGCAGCACGCCGCCCTGCAGGCGCCCGGCGCCGCCCGCTTCCTGGGCTTCCCCGGCGGCGGCGGCGACGAGGACTCGTGGGGCTCGTCGTCGTCGTCCTCGTCCGACTCCGAAGAAGAAGGCTACTTCCTGGGGCAGCCCATCCCGCAGCCGCGGCCGCACAGGTACGCCTACTACGCCGACGACCTGGCTGGCCCCACGGCCGCGCTCCCCGCGCCCCAGTTCGGTCCGAGGACAACCAAATCCAAGAAGAAAAAGGGACACAAGGGCAAAAACTGTATCATTTCGTAAGCCAGGCAGGCTCGCCCGCCGGGACCCCCCTCCTTCCTGAGCTAGTGTAAAGTGCGCTGCCCGTGTGAACGGGACACCGGCCGCTGTTTGCAAGTGTCCGAGGAACACTCGGAAGGAAAGTGTGATTTCTCCAGCGGCCCCTCCTCCGCGCCGGGCCGCCAGGCTGACCTGACATCTGGTGCCTATCAGTACATTACAGTGTGCGCTGGCTGCTCTGGGCTCCGATCCCCAAGAGCATTCTCAAGCAACTGCCACCAGGGCAATGGACGCGGGGGTACTGATGGGTGAAGACGGCAAACTTCAGCCACCTTTGGAAAGCAATAGTGTCTGTCACCCCTGGTATGTTGGCTTGGTCCTGACCGGCTTGCCTGTGGTGAGGCATGCAGTCACACTGACCCAGCTAGCACGGGGCTTCAGACTGGCCTAGGCCAACTTGGCCCCGGCCAGCCCTCGTCGGCGGGGCTCCAGATGGAAGAGAACATTGCTATTTATGATGTTGTATTTCATAGACTGTAAGTGGCTTCCTAATTTAACGGTGCAAATATTAATGTACATATTGTACAGTTCAGATTTTAGAGCTGATATTTTTATATCCCTGAATTACAAGACGTTTGTTATACTGCACTACTATATTTCCTAGGGACCCGGAAACGGCGTTTATGGAGGAAATGATTACTTGTCGTTTAGTCAGGGTTTATGAGTTAAGTTTAGATGGTCAGATTTATATTGCCTAGTGATGGAAAGTTCAATTTTTGGTTGTTTTTTTTAAATTTTCAATATTAAGGCTCTGTATGCATGGTGGGGCTATGTAAATACTCTCTAAAACTATGGCCCTATTAATCCTATGAGTATTATTTATGGGTCAAGCAATGTAAACTGTATAAATGTAAAAACAAACAAACTCACTCCACACATCCCCCTAGACTAGATGGTAAAAACCAGTGGAAGCTGTTCGGGTGAATGATCCCCCACCCCGTATTCTAGGGCTGCGTGCGAGGGGTCTTGCCACTCTGCAAGGTGGTGATGGAGTGGGCAGAACCAAGATCAGCTTTCTGTTGCAGAGGGCTCTGTAGGTAGACTGTTCTCTTTTGCCCCCCCCTTCCCCCCCCCTCCCGAGCTCAGCTATTGGCCTTCCACAGCAATTTTGAAAACAGTCTTCTGGTTACATATTTCTCTTAAATCCTTAAATGAAGGGATGCTGCGCCACTGCTATTCAAGTTAATTGTGAGGTTCTAGTTCAAGGGAAAATGATATTGGATTTGAACTAATGAGCTTATATTTTGATATGTGCCATTCTTGCACATGTTTCAGTTCGAACTAAAGGTCCTGGTTGCATCTCAGGTCCTTTAGGGAGGTATTTAATAAACAATAAATAACAAACCATATCTTTGAATACAGATCTTTGCAAATATATCCCGATAACTTCGTTTGCTCCTCTGTTTGTGCGTTTATTTTGTAGTCCGATTCCAGTAATTCCTACCTACGCTTTGATAGGACATAAAACCCCAAATTTGAACATATTGCTGTCCCACTGATTCTGATTCATAGCAACCCTATAAAACAGTAGCACCGCCCCTGTGGGTTTCCACGGCTGTAATCTTTATGGAAGCAGATATCTTTCTTCCGTGAAGCAGCTGAAGCATTCAAACCAGTTACTTGCCAGTTAACAGCCAAATGTTCCACCACTGTACCACCAAGGTTCTGGGTCTTGAAAAGCCAAAACCGGTGCCATCAAGTCAGTTCCAACTCAGGCAGCCCCCTCAGTATCAGAATAGAATTGTGCTTTCATAAACAGGTCAGGCCTTTTCTTTAAAGATGCCTCTGGGCACACTTGACCTAGACCTTTTGGTTAGTAGCTGAGCATATTCCTGGTTCCTATCACCCAGAGGCTCCTTTAGGACTTCTAAACTGACGTAAATGTGTGCCTACTTAACGGAACGGGGTAGGTCGTTCAGCCTTGGAGGGCGGACATCAACTTTATAGGGAAACCTGTGGGTTAGCAAACCTCCCATGCCCTCCCTGGATAGAGTTCGACTAGATCTAGTATCTGGGCTAGACAGACCCCTTCAGAAAAGCACTGACAATGGGAGAACTCTGTGTCCCGCTCATCCCATCGGGTCTTGAGCTGGTACATTTGAAAACAGTACATGAAAAGGAAGAAGTTCAAATAAAGCCAAGGTAAGTAGGGAAGAGCTCATCTTCATTCTTCATCCCCCATCCCTTCCCCAGAAGCAACCACGATTAGCCATTTCTAGTGTCCCCTCTGTGAAATGCTGGAGACCTTTTTATGTGTTCCTTACTTAAACACGAGTAGCCAGCGATCAGCGCTGTGACTTGCTCTTTTCACTTCATCTATAGACTTTCCACATTGGAGAACATAAGCCCAGCTCTCTTGTCAACTGCATACTATTCCACTGCTTGGATGTGCCATAATTTACTTCGTGTGGCTTGAATCCCCTGACACATGAATTACTGTACACGTAATCTAAAGATTATGACAGAAGTTAGATGTTTAAGATGGTGATGGATGTTGCCAGTTTTCCTCCCAAAGAAACGGTTCTGTTGCTTTACACTTTAGACCAGGAGTGGGGAACATCCGGCCCACAGGCCAAACCAGCCCAAGAAGTCACCAATACCAGTTACCATCACATGCCTTACCAAAGAGAGGCTCTTCCAGCCATCTCATTAGGAATGAGTTAAATATTTGACCACTAAGGCCCTTGAGTTATGTTGTAATAGCCAAATGGCCGGTGGTGAAAAAGGTTCCCTCCCTCGCTTCAAATAAAAAATGTAGAACAGTTACCCGACCACACCGTCACATAATGTACTCGCAGACCTGTCAAGAGTTCATGCTGCAAATAGTAGGCACCCTTTTCGCAACAAACAAGCACCTGGCCCTTAAAAAAGAATGGACAACGGTCAATGGAATGTGTAACCTGTAGGTATGAGATGAAGGCTGGGCCCTCAGTCAAATCCTTTAAAGGCACACTTACTTCCACCACCCCATCCTCTAGTCCTTAGGGTCTTACCTGCGTAGAGGGTTGTATCGACTGGCAAAGTGTGTAAGAGAATGCAATGATGACGGAAAGCTTTTCCTTCCTGACTTGTCCACAAGAACAAGGCTGTTAGACCCACACCGGGAAGGAGCTGCCTTGCAGTTCTGTTAAAAATTAAGCAAGAAAGTAAAGCAGCTGCAATTGGGTTTTAATAGAAACTGAGAAGATTTCAAAGTATCTGGTCAGTCACTGACCTCCAAAGTGTGGTCCTAACGTAAATACGGAATGTGAAAGCAGCACTTCTACTCTCAAGTCCGATCAAACTCATCACCCTCAAGTAAAGTGTGCCCCAGAATAGAAATGCCCCTTACAGAACAGAAAGCCTCATTTTCTCCTTTGGAGTAGCTGGTGGTTTTGAACTGCTACCCTTGCAGTTAACTCATACCACCAAGGTTCCCACCTGGGTGAAAATGGTTGCATCTTCTCCAGTCAGGCTACATACAGCCTCCAGCTCAGCCAGCTCTGGCAAGCTTTAAAAACAAGCTTATTGAGCAGTTCCCCACACTACTGGTCCCTGAGCTAATTAAACAGTACCAGAAGTGAGAGAACCATTTTTGGTCTAACCATTGTCTTCTCCCTCTAGGTAAGAATCATGGGTATTGACAGCACCCAAGGCATGTGCCTGTGGCCCAGCTTAGTCTTTGGGTGATGGGACCCAGAGCTCCCAAGCATGCAGAAAGTCTTGGTTGGGACACACTGCAGGAATGGCCAGAGGAGTCTGAACAGCCAGTATGATGCGACACCGTGCACCCGGTTTATAGGGGCTTTTTCTAGTGGGTACTGGTTTACTGGGGAAAGGAGGCCCACTGTTGCCAGAACGTAAGGTTTTTAAAAAGATGCTGAGTCTGAACTTCCAAGAATTTTCTCACCTTAACATGCTAGCAACTAATTCAAACATTTCTGAAGCACTTTTACAACATGAGCCTGTCTGCACGTCTTTAATACCTTAAAATTATGGGAAGCCAATCCTCCCAGAGCAGTTGTGGGGAACACAACTAATTACTGTGGGTATAAATAAATGTGACCTTTTATGGAGGCTCAAAGAAAAAACAAATCAAGATTTTTAAAAATTGCATTATCAATTCAATGCTGGAAATACAATTATGATAAAATCCATTTTAATTAGGCAAATGAGAAAATCTCTAATTGCCTAGTTAATTCTCTAGCCATTCATTGGAACTATCGAAAACAAGAAGAGTCTCCTATCTATCCAACCTTGCAAATGCATCGGGAAGGCTTCCAGGCCGGGTAAATTGGGCCAAAGAAAAATGAACAGAAGCAACTGAATTGTGTACTCCTGATCTCACACTCTCCTGGGCTCCCAGAATTACAGGTTTTACTGGAGAAACAGTTTAAAGGTAGCTTTCAAGATAGTCTGGGGAGAAAGTCAGGAGGTGCATGAAGACAGCAAGTCGACAAGTCTAGAGACTTGGTCACAGGACGATGGTCAACTTATTCTCTGACCACACCCAGCAAGCTAGTAGTCTCACCTGAGGGGCCATATTTAGCCTCAACTTTTCTCTTTTGCAAAAGAAAGTTCCTACAAATCTCTACAAATATGCCCAAGATGCTATCGTGCCAACTTCAGAAGTCACTCGCAACACGCTATCACCTGGTTCCAGAGCCCATAAATGCCACCATTAAGAACATGCAACTGGTTCTCTTAAGTGAGAATAATTACCTCTGTGGTTTTGGATAACGAAATCAAGCAAGGGACATGGGAAAAGCCAATTACCAATCTGAAACAAATCCACCAACCGTTCAGGTGGTATAACGCCAAGCACACAGGTTTCCAGGATCTGGGTTACGGGAGAGCCACTTCTGAGCTCAGTCCGGTTTCCGCCTCTAAGACGAGAATGCCAGACCGCCACCAAGGCTGCCTGCAGCTCCGCCCAGTGCTCTGTGGGAGCGGAAGGGGCTGAGGGGGCCTTCAACAGAGGGCCTTCCACTCGGCATAATGCCTGTTTCCTTTCCTGACTTTCGCACTTAACCACAAATTTGTCTCACAAGGATCCTTGAAGGATGACCCCAAAGGCCATGGCCAATGGGCCGGGCACTGTGACGAGGATGGGTGCTCCCTAGATTTGGAATTCTGTGTGAGCAAGAGGTTGAAATTAAACAGTGAAAAAGAAATTTGGGGACAGTAATCAACTAGTGCACATAGGCTTCACTAAGTTTCTTTGTTATTTCTCCCCAATAGCCTTGAAGAAAAGCAAAAAAACAAACTCACTGTCATCCAGTCAATTCTAATTCATAGCAATTCTATAGGGCAGGGTAGAGCTGCCCTGTGGGTTTCCAAGACTGTAACTTAAAAAAATTTTATTGGGGGCCCTTACAGCGCTTATCACAATCCATACATACATCCATTGTGTCAAGCACATATGTACATATGTTGCCATCATCCTTTTCAAAATGTTTTCTTTCTACTTGAGCCCTTGGTATCAGCTCATTTCTGCCTTCCCTCCGTCCCTCATGAACAATTGATAATTTATTTTAAAAATTTTCATGTCTTACATGGATTGCTGTCTCCATTTACCCACTTTTCTGCATCCCCCTTAGAGGGGGTTCTATGTAGATCATTGTAATGTTTCCCCTTTCTTCCCCCACCTTACCCTTACCTTCTCACTACTCTCATTATTGGTCTTGAGGGGTTTATCTGTCCTGAATTTCCTGTTTCCAGCTCTTACCTGTACTAGTGTATATGCTCTAGTCTAGCCGGATTTTTAAGGCAGAATTGGGGTCATGATAGTGGGGGATAGGAAACATTAAAGAACTAGAGGAAAGTTGTATGTTTTATCAGTGCTATACCACACCCTGACCCTGGCTCATCTCTTCCTTGTGACCCTCCTGTAAGGGGATGTCCAATTGTCTACAGATGGGCTTTGGGTCTGCATTCCGCCCTCCCCCTCATTCACATCAATATGATTTTTGTTCTGAGTCTTGGATGCCTGATACCTGATCCCATCGACCCCTTATGATCACACAGGCTGGTGAGCTTCTTCCATGTGGGCTTGGCTGCTGCTCAGCTAGATGGCTGCTTGTTTATCTTCAAGCCTTTAAGACATCAGATGCTATATCTTGATAACCGGGCACCATCAGCTTTCTTCACATTTGCTATGAACCAATTTTGTCTTCAGTAATCGTGTAGGGAAGGTGAGCATCACAGAATGCCAGGTTATTAGAACAAAGTGTTTTTGCATTTAGGGAGTACTTGAATAGAGGCCCAATGTACATGTGCTACTTAATGCTTAATGCTACTTAATACATTTAAATATATGTACATAGATCTATTTCCTATGATTATATATAAATATATTTACATATGTACATGCCTGTATTTAGAACTCTAAAAATGTCCTTTGCCTCCTAGT